TGTGAGTGAGAGAGTGAATGGTTGTTTGTCTCGTTTGTCTCTATGTGTCCCTGTGATGGACTAGAGACCTGTCCAGGGTGTCCCCCGCTTCTCATACAGTGACTGCTGGATATGAGACCCAGTGACCCCTGCGACCAGAAAAGGAAGGAGCAGGTAAAAGATAATGGATGGGTGGATGCAGAAACCCTTCTCCCTTAGTTCCTCCCATTCTTGGGTCTTGATGCTTATTAGAACATTTGTAGTTGTACAAAAGAAAGTAAAGGAATAGCTTTAGAAAAAAAAACTTGATCACCTTCTGTTCTGTTAAGTCCCTTCACTCCTAGGTGAGTTGGACCATAAGACAAGCCAACACCTTCTAGTTGTACCCTAAATTTATTAGAGAACTCAAAGAAATTGTGCATTTTTCTAGTGCCTATCTTTTGTATAGTGTCCGTAGTAGGGGTCCGAGATGGTGTAGAGGTAGGAAGCAAACTTGGGACCAGAAAGTCACGGTTCAACTCCACACCATTCCCACATGTTGTAGTGTCCTTGAGCAAGACACCTAAAGCTGTAAAGTTTGCAGATGATACAGTGGTGGTGGGATGCATCACAAACAATGATGAGTCCAGCTACAGGCAGGAGGTGGAACACCTGGAGAGCTGGTGCAGGAAGAACAACCTTGACATCAATGTGAAGAAGATGAAGGAGATGGTCATGGACTTCAGAAGGAACAGACACACCTACCCTTCTCTGAACATAGGAGAATCTGCAGTGGAAGTGGTCTCCAGCTACAAGTACTTGGGTGTGCACCTGAGTGACAACCTCAGCTGGAGCAACAACACCACCAGCCTGATCAAGAAAGCTCATGAAAGACTCTACTTCCTAAGGCGGCGGAGACAAGCTGGTCTGGGAAGCTCAGTCCTCCCCTCCTTCTTCAGGTGTGCAGTGGAGAACATCCTGTGCTCCAGCATCAGCGTGTGGCATGGATGCTGCACAGCTGCAGAAAAAAAAGCTTTGCAGAGAGTGGTGAAGGCTGCACAGAAGATGTTGGAGTCAGTATCCCCACCATCACAGACATCTACACCTCCAGATGCAGGAAGAGGACCACCTGCATCATGAAGGACCTCACTCACCCAGCACACACATTTTTTGCCCCGCTCCCCTCAGGAAGGAGGTAAATGGCTGCATGTCGTTCAATTTTACACATAAAAGACTAAAGTATGACGTGGTAGTAGCTGAGGATCATTCACCACAAATACTTTGAGCGTGGCATCTCACAGTGTTACACAAGATTGCGTGAATATTGTTTTCAAAGTTTGATCAAAGCAGCAACAGCATGTGATTTCTCAACATAAAATAAGTCTTTATTCTAAAGTTGGGGCATAAAAGTGTTCCTTCAAGGAATGCTGAGCCTCTTCTTGTTTGCTTTACTATTTCAAATGGTTTTGTTTCTTTGTCAGTTTTATTTTATTTTTTTGGTATTATATTAAAATAACTTAAGTGAAGTTTTTAATAAGTGCTTTGACTTTAACATCTGTGAACCCATTGTTCAGAAGCTCTGAAAATGATTTGCATTCTGTTAAAGCAATCGGTCAATTCTCAGATAAAACAGCTGGACAGTTCCAGAGGGAAGACCCCTGCCATGTTATCTGGTGTGTAGGAAGAAAGGGGGAGGAAACTGAGGAGGAAGAAGAGGAGGAGAGATCCCAGCAACCCAAGAAAACTCCCTGATACAAACCATAACAGAGAAACAGCTCGGTTACCAGGAGGCAGAAATAGGACTGGAAGTTGGGAAAGACCCAGGTCTGCAGAGAGATTTTTAAGTGACATTAGAGATCAGCGTAACCACAGGCTGGAAGGGTTTGGAAGTCCTTGAATTCACGGCCACATCTGAAAAATATACATTCTGTGTATGTTTTAATTATTTAATTTTGTTTTACAGGAAACTGCTGTGAAAGGTAAAAGGGATCAGTAATGCTAATGAATGAAGACAGTGCCCACACGGCGCTTGGCTCTGCAGCTGTCCTGTGGCTGCAGCCCGGGGCCTTGGAAGGAACTCTTGGGAGAAATTATTGATATAAATTTACCTCTCGGTACTGAATGAAATATTACCTGTTCAAAGCAGTTCCTCAATCTGTGACTCACGTTTTTTTCCAGAAATTTAATGGATTCAGGTGAGGCATTTAAAATGAGTGGGTCTGTTATTTCATGTGCCTGTTGTACTTTTAGAATTACATTTAGTGATATGCTGAGCAACACAGCTTATTTGGTCATGTTTGTTCATCAGTGAAAACATCCTGCAGTGTGCCAGCAGGTTGTAAGACACTACACTTATAAACATTGTTTATCCCCTGCATGTGAATCAAATGAGTCCGCTTAGATTAGAAAGACAACCTTTAACCTTGCCAGTTGTTGCCATGGGTCTTCAGCCTCCTCCTGTCCAGGATCTGAACAGGGGAGGAGGCAGGCAGGACTCCAAGCGAGGAAACAGATTCAGAAAGCAAGCGTGGATGCATAACCACAACAGGTGGTGTTGATTTAAGGGCGTTCTGCCTTTCCAATCTCTGGAACCGAACCCAATACATGACAAAGGCAGATCAAAGGACGTTTCACTGTGGTGTGCTAAAACCCTTGTCAAACTATTCAGCTTCTTCCCATGAGCACTGTTCCTCTCCCTTCGGCGTGCATGTTTTCTCTCCACTTTAGCTTCTTATGAAAATGAATTACTCACAGATGCTGAACACAAACTGTCATTTCCTTGCACTGTTTTTTTACGTGTGAATTTATCAGAACAGAGGTTAGCACTATTCGTCTCACAGATTCCCCTCTGTGCACTTTGAGAGTGCTCAGAGTGCAGGAAAGACAGATGTAAAGTGGGAGTCATGGTTCCAATGGTCAGTCATGATGTTCTGAGTACATGAGATTACTCAACAGAGCACGCGAGAGAACGGGAACATATACAAACTCTCAAAGCAGTTTAGTGTTTGGCTTTGCATCAACTCATCTCCCTAAGGCTCTTATCCTCCACAATTCACACTCTGTCAGTTTCAGCTGCCTGCAGCCAAGTGCATGCACACATTAAAGACATACACACAACAGAGCAAAAAATAGACTGAACTCTGTACTCACATAGAGTCCTGTGTGCCTGTCACCAAAGAAGGGGAAGGCAACAGAGATCTCTTGAAGTCCAGAGCCTCCGTCGTCCTGAGAGATGGTCTGAGAGTCCCCGCTGTCCTCACCGTAGGGGTAGAAGTCCTCCAAGGGCACAGCAGAGTCCACCCTGGGCAGCAGGGTGCAGAAGCAGGACAGAAGGGCTTGCAGTACCAGCAACACCATGGCCTCAGCCACCTAGGGATGGAGCTGACAGCGAGCACTGTGGAAAAGGAGGGAGGAGCTCACACACCTCAGGCAACAAGTGCAAAAAGAGCAGAGCAGGACAGGACTGTGCGTTCCTCCTCTCACGGCAGCTGGATACCTCCCCTGCTCCCCGGCTCTGCCTCCGTCTCTTGTTCTATTAGCAGAGAAGTGGGCTTCTTGTGTGAGACAGGGGAATACTGTAGATTCCTCGCATTCTCCTTTCTGCTGGACTCTGCATAGGATCTCACAGGAATAAAATGAGGAAAGAAATTAAGGGGTGTGAGGGGGGAGAGCAGCGTGATTCAGCTGAAATGTTTTTATTTAACAATCCAGTGATTCGGTCCCTGATGGCCAGCTTAGAAATATCCTCAATAAAAGCTCTATGCTGCTTGCCAAAAGAGTTCTTTCAGTTTAGGCCCCACCTCCCCCACAGGGATTCACTACCTTGCATAATTAGCTCCTTTCAGCCAATAGTTAGGAAGAGGCTGGTAACTGGATAAGCATGGGGCGGGTCTATGTTAATCAAAGGGCTGCTTTAAAGAAGCTCTGAAAAAGTTTCCCCTCTTCAGTTGGACTCCTGCACAAGGCAGGCTGTGTTGCACGGTGAAGATAGATGCATGTGAAACAGCAGAGAAAGTATGCAGGAACTGAAAGGTGCTGCAAATTGGATATAAATAAAAACATCCTCAAAAGACAACCTCACATATTTCTGCGTCAGCAATCTGTGAGTGTTTTACTCTCCACTACAACCGATGCACGTCGGTAAAACAATGGCTGCATCCTTACGTGAAAAATGTACTAAACATGTATAATGTTTGAGGTTATTAAGAGTTTTCACGTGTCACAAACAACAACTTTTAGCAGGATAAAGAAATAACATATTAAGGCCAACATGTAGTAGCAGTCAGAGAATCCTTCAAAAGTTCAAAAAGGCTTTTAACTTAAGACACTAAAGGAAGACGCTTTCTACCACAAAGTTGTTTCATAAATTAATTACGTGACCAGCAGAAATGTCATCATTTATTTGTACATCTAAACACGTTTGATGAACTGTGGCTATGTGAATAAATACATTTGATATGATTGAAAACAAAAAGTATTTTGTGACACTAAACATGATTAAGTCAAATACAGCACATCAAATACCAAGAGGGTCATTATTAGATTTAAATCAGGCTAAACTGGCAATCGACTTGTAGTATTTGTAATCAAGTATTTGTTTAAATCATTAAAAACTACCAGAACAGTATGATGACACATAGTAGTAAGTCTGATACATTCTGGATGTGACATGAATTTACAATCACAGCAGAGAAACCCTTCATCACATTTACAAACGTGGAACGAGCCGTTCTAAAACAATTTGGCACATCCAGTTCACTTATAAACAAAACACTTGTTGTTTGTTGAGTTATTCTGCAGATTATTGTAATCCTGTGTGCACATGTACTGCTGTTTGGGTTCAAATGCTTGGGGAGAGTTTCTGTGTTTCCACGTGTGGCTGTGAACGTACAGTTGTTGCACAACTGTTAGCAGGACACTGAAGGAAGAAGAGCGAGGCACCGCACACTTCACCACCTACACACCAGGCTGGAGCATCTGATTTAAATACGCCTGCCGTCTTCTTGTCTCCTGATCAAGCTGCTCTTTGAGGGTCAGCACCTGTAGAAAACCAAGGAGTAAGGAATAAAAGATGTCTATCTGCAGCGTATTAGGATGAATAGTTTCTTTAAAACTGGAGCTATACCTGTTCCTCCAGGCATTTGACCCTCTGGCGATGAGCCCTCTCCCGGGTCTCCAAGGCTTGTTCTGCTTGGAGCTGACTGTCCCTGAGACGATTTGTTTCCACGTCCAGCTCCTGGTGATGATGGGCTGTAACCTCCAGGAGGTGCTGTGCATGAGAACGCTCCAGCTGGAAGATCTGAGCCTGAGGACAGTTGTTTAAAACTACACCACTGAAAAGAACTATAGGAAACACAATAGCTGGGAAGTTCAGCAAGTAAGCCGAGACATTTAAAGGCTTCTCAATAGTCTTCTCAGGAATTCTTCAAGTACTCAAGGTGGTAGTGACAGGACTAACAAAAGTCAGCTTAGAGTCATTTGTCCCTAACTAATGGCTTATTTATTTGAGAAATGCAGAACGATGAACTGTAGTTGTAAGAAGTTTTCATCCACTCTTCATGGGCTTATCTTTTCTAATAATTGTGGCCTTTCAACAATTAGTTTTTTTGTGTGTTTTTTTTACAAAGTTGAATTACCATAAAAGATACAGCCTCAATGATTTTTAAAAACTGGAACTGGGTGCACAAGTTTAAATTTGTTGTAGATTATCTCTAAACTACATAGGTTCAAATTAAACAGACGGGTTCGATTATACACAAAAAGTTGCTTGACAGTCTGATTCACGCTCAATAATCCAGGTAAAAAAAAACATCAGTGTTAAGTCAGGTCCTCTGGATGGTTTTTTTTTGTTGAAACGTTTTGTCTTTCATCCAAAGAACTTCATCAGCCCAAGGAGCCACAACAAATGCAGTCTTATGTGTGAAGGTGCTGTTTGTTGTGGCTCCTCAGACTGATGAAGTTCTTTGGATGAAAGTCGAAACATTTCAACAAAAAGAAACCATCCGGAGGACCTGACTTAACTTTGTTGGGTTGCTTGTAGAGTTGCATTCGGTCCCAAAAAGATCCGACCCGACCCAGCCCCAGCCTGTAGCCATAATTTCCGAACCCCACCCAACCCAACGAATTAACAGTAATTGCAGGTCCGAACCCGAAACCCCCCCAACATTTTTAATTAAAGTTTGACGGCTTATATAGTTATTAACGGTCAGCAGATGCGCACGGCTAAGGGGGCAGAAGATCGGAGCTGAGGGGGTGTTTGACCTTTCATGGCCATCAAAGCACATTAAATCCCTGCTTCTGTCTGCATTCTGCATTATTTAGACACGGACCCTGCTCTGATATGTCAGATATTTTGGGATTTCACCTGTTTGGGTCATCGGCCGCGCGCGTCTGCTGAGTGCAGCGGCTGAATGAACATCCATTTGGGCTTTGATGGATCGCTGCCTGGCAGTAAAGTCCCACCTGAAGCTTACATGAACTTTATTTTTTTTACCTCTTTCAAGGCCGGTCAGCGTGCAGTCAAATGGACGCGTGCGGCTGGTGATAGTATGGCAAGCCATGTTGCCATATAATTGGATCGTCAGACGCACGCGTCCGCTGACGCAATCAAAAGCCCGACACCAGCCCAGCCCACACATTAAGCACATTATTATGGTCCGGCCTGACCCAGATTAGGGCCAGGCCGGGCTCCGGTTTTGGGTTAGGAATGACAGCTCTAGTTGCTTGACAGGGTTCTTAAGTTTGAAAGCCTGACACTGACTCCTTCAAACAAGCTTCTTGTTCATCCATCCATTGTCTGCTGTTTATCTGTGGTGGGATCATGGAGGCAATGGGTTTAGGAGACAAACTTTGACTTCCCCCTTCCAAGTGACACTCTCCAGCTCCTTCTGGTGGACCCCAAAATGTTCAGGCCAGGGAGAATAAACATTATGTCCAGCAAGTACTGGTCCTGCCCAGGGTTTCCTTCCAGTGGGACTTGCCTGGAAAACATAGAGGGAGACTCCAAGGAAGCATCCTAATCAGAAGCTAGAAACACCAAGTTGACTCATTTTGATGTGGAACAATTCAACTCCAAGTTCCTCTTGAATGATGGAGCTCCGCCTCGTTGCTATGGCTGAACACAGACACCATTTTTGTCATTTGAAAGCAAATAACTCGGTCTTTATCTCGTGTAACAATAAAACCGTTCTTCAAAAGATGTTTGGTATGCCCAACACTGCAAGTTTCAGTTGAAATGGAAGGAGTCGTTTTTGAACCAGCACCCTCGTGGTTTATGGTGATATGAAATTCCCTTCACCGTGGAGAGTGACACCGGCGTTTCAGCAGTTTTGAGTTCACGGCAGGGTTGAGCTGTGATGATTCCTGGGTTGCTACAGAGTTAGTTATGGATCCAGCAGCTTTGAGCCAGTTCCTTTTTTAGATCCTCGCTGTTTCTTGGATTTCCTATTGTTTGCTTTCAAACACATGCTATGTATGCAGTAACTGGAAACTTACAAGCTAAAGTCAATCATCAGAGAAGTTAATAAGCCTTGGGCTTGTTAACTTACAAGGCACTAGTATATTTAACACAACCTATGATAAAATAGGTAAATGTAAGCATATATTTGACACTGTATGAATAATTATGACCCTGAGTGGATTAGAGAAAACTTCACAACAAATTTAAAACCAATTCTTGTTCTTAAAAATCATTAAAGTTGTATGATGTATAATCATTCCACTCTAGAAAACCATAGAATGCTGTTGTCCATAGTATGCATAAATACTGCTTAAAATGTCCCAACTCTGCCCCCGTAATCATGCAACCTTTTACCTGTAGAGTCTCCAACATTTCATGTTTTTCAGTCAGCTCCTGCTCCAAGCTGCAGACCGTCTGCTCCAGCTGTGCTTTCTTTCTGGCAACAGAAGCTGCTTCCTCCTCTTTCCTCAGCCTCTCCATCTCTACCTAACAACAGCCCAGAGGTGAAAGACTGTAAACAAATTTACCGTGACTTTATTTTACTATAACGGGCCTTCAAGTGTCACAAAACACAAGTACAGTTTCCTGCATCGTTAGTTTTTGAACTAATTTGCATGGTGTAGAAAAAAATTGTAACAATAAAAAAGAGCAAATCATTTGCCATACAAGGAATAATGTAACTGTTCACTGCTGCTTGTGTCATAACAGGTCTGCAAGTTTTCACTTGGTCCAGTGTGAGGAAGCAAAGCCTCTGAGCAACTCACATTACTTCAGTTCTGGTCTCGTCTGTGAAACAGCTTCCAGCAGTAGTAGAACTGAATCTATGATACTTTAATTACATTTTAAGCCAATTGTGGCTTGGCTCCTTCATAGTGTTCAGATGTTCTACCTCATATTC